AAGCCGCTCAACAACACAATCTTCCTCAAACTGAGGAACCAACTCGTGAGTAAGAACCCAAACTCTACGAAGTAATCATCGAAATATTCCTCAACATGATCAGCTCAATCATATTCATCGTTCTACTCGAACACGCTACAGCTGACTACTTCTCCTATGGAGACTGTTTTGACGAATGCAGACGACGAAAGAAGAGCTGCATGATCAGCGAAATCAACCCGACATATTTCCCATGCGAATGTCTGGACCAATTCTCTCAGTGCGAGGCGCTCGCTTCAGAGATACAGGTGTGTCTCAGACCGGGACTGCCTCCGATTGGTGGAGATCAAATCTGGAATGACTTCGCGAAATTCATGAACCGAACTTCTCCAACGACGACAGCCATTCCCTCTCCCGAGACAACTACGAGCACATACACCACTACGACACACGAGCCGAACACTCAGTCGAAGGAAAGAGACATTCTCCTCTTTCTGACAATCGCTCTCGGAATCATCTCCTCTCTGAGCATTCTTGCTCATCTCTATCCCATTCTCAGGAAACGTCTGAACGCGAGCTCAGACTACTCGCGAATGCCCATCTCCAATGAAATTTACCAAGAAACGACTCGAGAAATACAATCGGTACCCTAAAAGGAGGGGTCCGATCTACGAACAAGATCGGTTTATTGTCACAAAGCTCAAGTATCGTCATTTTTTTAAAAAAAAAACCTTCTTATATAATCTTAACAGATCGGCGTGCCTCTCAGCCCTGGAAGGGCAAAAACCTGTACATCTGATTTCGGTCAGGACACTTCAGTTCAAAAGTTTTCCTTAGATCCTGACTCCGCAAGTTCGGAACAGAATCCAGAGGCACAACCGATACATTACGTGTTGCCGGCGCAACCGAAAATATGAGAACACAAGGGCCTGGAGCCGGACTCGAACACAAGGTAAAATCTTTAAAATCATCACATTCGAAACCGGCTATCGACATAATCGACACATTGGTACGAGAAATCCCTGCAACCACATCACTTCCCTCGGGACCCTTTGGCTCGGATATTGCGCTTTCTAACTCGAGAGTTCGAGTTACGTTCAGCAGAGGTAAAAGTCTCCTCAAAAAACTGAACGCAGCGTCGCTGGATGAGGTTCTCTGAGTCGGCTCTGTTACGGGCAGTCGTAAGTGAATGCCTGCAGAAATTGAAAGACTCAGTGTGCTGATTATCACCAGGAGCGAAAAACTGACTTTGATCCAACGGGGATAGACTCTAAGAATCTTAGCCACTTCTAGTAACCTTATGCGCGAGTCCATCCATGCCTGATCGTCTGCCGGACTTTGAGCGGCTGGTTGCCCTTGATTCTGCGAGGTTGAGATCTGGCTCTGTGGCGCCTGTCTCGGCTGCTCAGGACGTCTGGGCCTGACCGCGGGCCCTGAGGCCACGTGACACGAGACCGGCGAGGCTGATGATACATCAATGAGGGGAGCTTCACTCATCGAACTGGGTGAACTGTTGGTCTCGTACGGAATGTCTTCAAGGAGAACATTAGTGAAGCCCACAGGGCTGCCTCCTCTGGCTCGCATCATTCTTATCACGCTCATCTCAGCTTCATTCAGAGATCCCTCTGACGTCATCTCACTGTCTGAGGAGGCGCAGAGTTATTTTAAATATCTCCGCCGAATCAGAAGTTTGATTGACTACCATGAATAATAAAAAAAAAATCACAAACCTGAGGATACTTTGAAGATGATAAGCAAAAAAAAAATCGATCAGAGATCAACGACAATCGTCCGTTTCAAACGACGAGTGAACACGAAGTCGTCCCTTGCTCGATTTCGATTAACGAGGAAACCTCCGTTTTTCCCTCTTTCCCTCAATCTCGAAAATCTTCCGTGCACGTGCTGCACACCTCCAACATATCAAACGTCCCGTTCATGTCTCGAGGAACGTACACCTATCAACGATGGAACCTTCTCGAAGGAGTCGAATGGAATGCTCAACCTTCGGCTACAACCATCAAAGGGAATCGCCGCACCTCTTCTAATCAATGTCAACGATCCAGAATCTTCAAAATCTGATGTTTCTTCAAACAGGGGGGATATGCTGGAATATGGAGTTCTCCAAACTCTATTCTTGTTTGTCAGAAACCTCCGACGCATATACCTTGTCCAGATGCTAAATAGACACAATCAGATACTTTTCTAGCTCAGCGACCTAGTTCTAAAACTCAGTAAATTCCGGATGTAAATCTAGGACGCTCACTCTCTCTACCTGCTGGATCCTTGACACAAATATCATCCTATATGTATATTCAACGAATAAACGAATAGAGTTACTCTCTGCTCTGCGACCACACAGAAGGCATCCTCGTCATTCTGAAGTCTGAATTCTGTCCTCCTCCTGGTATCCCGACTGATCTAGTGAAGTTTCCACTCACGGAAATTCCCATCACTTTCCGTTGGATTATTCAACAAGGTGGCATTAGAAGCAACTCAGAAGAGACTCGCTAGAAAACGTGGGGCCATATTCGCTCCGAGTCATCTGCAGAACTCAGTACTATCGAAGCGGAGCCTGTGAAGATGGACTCCGAAACAAGCAGAAGCTCCAAAAGTTGGGTTTGGAATCATTTTGTGAAATGCCCCGGTGGTCAAGAGGCAGATTGTCAACTCTGCCAAAAGACATACAGGGTGGGGCAAGAAATATCCACCGATTCCAGGAGCTCGCAGAAATCGAACGAGGCAAGATAATGACATTCTGTTTGCGTCAGAAGTTGCGTCTTTTCATGCATTTTTATCGAAACGAACGAAGTTACGATCAGTTCATCTTCAGAGCGCTGTGAGGGGAACGCGGATGAGGTCGTATCCAAGCAGCGGGGCTACACAAAGCAAGACCCGAATGCTACTGTTGTTTGAAGAGCAGCGCGTCTTTATTGAACAAAGTTTCACTTATGGCTCGAATATGGAATCGCAAGTGAAGATTCTTGGTGTCTAATCCCTTATTTGGATTGACATTCGAATTCTTTGCAGCCAATAGACAAGTTCAGGTTTTGAACACATAATAATCCATCAGATGCCTGCGCCGGCTGCCTGCCATTCTTCACTGACCAGCCTCTCGCATCTTCCTGCTCTGAGAACAGCGTTATATGAGCATTCATGTCCCCGCCAATCACCACGTGCGTTTTTTCGTCGTGTTCATGGCCGAGCACATCGGTAATATTTTCGAACAATTGTCCATTCTGTCGTCCTCTCTCGTTTGCAGCATAGATTGAGCAGAACAACCAAATCGATGATTGGATTCCCACCTTGGTCGCTATTAAATTCCTTCCCCTTTCGGTTGAGATCACTCGCCCAATGCCCTGCGGGATCAGTATTCCCACTCCCGCTTTCGCGTGTCTTCCCGTTTTCCCTTCTCTGTTGGATCCCAGCCATTCGTATCGGTATATTTTTGGCGGAACCTCCTCATTCATGAGCTATGTTTCGCTCACCAGGATGATTCCTCTCGCGTCTCTCGCATCCTTCCCTGCAGTTTCTGAGAATGCTTCCCTTATCTAGCTCTTCCATTTCGACCTCGTATATCGAGAACACCGATATTAATATCAAAAACATGGGTTCCCTCTATCAACTCGTTTCTCGACTTGCCCCCCCCCCGCCGCCGATTTCGCTTTGGAGGGTCATGAGTCATGATTCCCGAGTTTCAGTACCACTGGAGGGCGAGATCGTCATTTCGGTTCCCGTTTTTGGTTCATCTTCAATCCCTGAGGATACGGCAACTTTCGCGTACCCCCCCTTAGTTTGTCCGCAACTTCGGCCAGCATTGCAGCTCCCTGTCGCCCCTCCTCTCGAGGTAGAGGGTTGAGGATCCCGATATATGTTCGGCTCATCCCGAGCCTTTTTAGCGTAGAACTACGCTATAGCCCCCGGTAATGGGCACCAACTTCGATGGGGAGTATTGGGGGGCCAAAGCTCGAAAAAAATCGAATCTCGGAGATAGCATGCGTATGTGCTGGGGTCGTCTGCCAGAGGCTTACGCACTTTTTTTAAGCGAGTCACCTGTGTAACAAACTTGTCGAGCTTATTTCTCTGAAACAGAGCGTTCGACAATGAAAATGATGATGGCTGAATATGTCCGGCTGAGAATGAGGCACCGTTCATGCTACTCAATTTGCCCCTTATCTTGATTATTTCATAAAATACAGGCCAAGAAGTAAGCTCGTTCTCGCCGAACGTCGGAACGCAGATTCGGAGGCTGAAAAAACTGAGCAAGAGACCCTCAGCATACCTTGATTAGTCCTAATCAACTGTTCTGGAAACGCTATGTCGATTGATGGACCCAGAAATTCCCTCTTTCTGATTTTGAACATATATTGGCGGAGAATCTCTCCTCCGCTAGGGATGGATCTATTTCTTCAGGATCGCCTCAGTTTTGCTAAATTAACCGTTGAAACTTTCCTCAATTCTTCCTCCACCCCGCGACGATGTTGAAGACAACTAACACCTCCGGTTGAGGTTGTATAATGACAGCGGAAAACGGTGCTATGTAACTTGAGCGCACGCAAAGTTGAGCGCAGCGTAAATTTGAGCGCGCAGTAAGTCAGAGCGCGAAGTGAATCGGAGCGCAGAGTAAATTTGAGCGCAATGTAGGTTTGAGCGCAGCGGAAGACAGAGCGCTGGTGAATTTGAGCGCAGAGTAAGTCTGAGCGCGAAGTATATTTGAGCGCATCGTGAATTCGAGCGCAAAGTAAATCTGAGCACGGGGTGAATCTGAGCGCTGAGTAAATTTTAGCGCGAAGCGAATCAGAGCGCGGAAAAAGATTCAGGCATGATTGAGCTCAGCATTCGGGCACGAGGGGCAGTAGGTTAGAGCTGAATTTTGGCTGTCCGTATATGAGCGCAATGTCGGCAAGTGCACATTCGCCAAAAGCAACACCACTTTTGGTCACATGTCGATCTCTCACTCGATGCGATAACATTTCGAAACTCAGCCGAGTCGAGGCATCGAGGACCGTTTTGCGAAGCCCGACATGCCTTTGACTTTTGTGACCTCGACCCGTGGACAACCGATGCTGTGCCTCCAGGGCTACGTTTTCCGGAAAGATAGGCAAACGAACGAACGAACTACATGGCGGTGCGTCGAGAAAACTTGCAAGGCTCGTATAGCCACCGAGGATGATTCGCACGGAGTGAGTAGGGTCCAGAGAGGACGGGCAGAGTCCCTAATCCCGAATGATGTTCCGGATGGTCTGTTTGAGATCCTCTTTCTACGGGTTGCTTGCGTCAGCAAGATGTGCACATTTCGATGAGCTCAGGCTGATATCTCCACTCCAGGAACCACCAATGCATACCCATAGTCCCGATCCCGTGGATATCAAAGTGAGAGGCGTCTTGAGTCAGCTGCGAGAATCCGCAGCTCAGCGTCCGAGCGCGAAACCGACAGCCCTTGTCGCAGAGGTAGTCGGCAAAGTCGAATCGACCGCAACTCTGGGAAAGTTACCGAAACCTGATCTACTTAGGCGTCGAGTCACCCACGCTCGAAGGCGAGCGGGTCCAGGCCTCCCGACTAATCCTTTACGCCGGGAAGATTTGATCATCCCACCTTTCCTGAAGGTACTCATGCGAGCTCGATTGAATGGCTAGAGCCTACGTGGTGCGTTAATTATTTGCTGAGGGTCTCGAGGATGTAATTTCGACTCAAACTTGATCTCTCCCGTGCTGTAGGTGACGACGAAGGATGTATCGTTCCTCTATTACGACTCGGGCGAAGGAAGAAGCGACAGAATCATAGTCTTCGCGACGCTTGCGAACCTCTCTTTACTCAAAGAGAGCAACGAATGGTTCCTCGACGGGACTTTCAAAGATTGACCGGTGATCTTCCATCAGATGTACAGCATCCTTGTGAAACTGCCGGATGGCAAGGCCGCTCCCCTCATCTATTCTCTTCTGCCGACGAAGAGAGCCGACACGTACCGGCTTTTCATCGGAATAGTTGTCGATGCTCTCGGAGGGTATCAGCCAGAGATTCTCCACGTCGACTTCGAGATCGCGATGGTCCGCGAACTCGAAGCTTGTTTCCCCCTCGCGAGGGTCCTGGGATGTAATTTACATTTTAAGCAATGCCTGTGGCGGCACATTCAGGCGGACAGTATGCTCCGCGATAAATACCTGCGGGACGACGATTTTGCTCTCGATGTTCGCATGTTCGCGGCCATCGCATTCGTTCCCGAGCATGATGTGCGATCCGCCTTCGATACTTTGTTGGAATCGAACTCCATTCGCGAGAATAACTATCTCCTGACGAGTTTCATAAATTACTTTGAGGCGACGTGGATAGGTCGCCCGCGGAATCCTGCTACCATGAAGATAGGTTGGTGGAACGCTCATGAGGCCACCGTGTCTGCTGTAGGCCGCACCAACAATGCTATCGAAGGCTGGCACTCAGCATTTAACGGCAGACTTGGGGCGACAAATCCGACCTTCTTCAAACTAGTCGAGCAGCTCAAAATCGAGCAGGGATTGACCGAGTTTGTCATCGCGAACTCCCTCGCTCAGGGGCCTGGGGCTCCTGCTAAACGGATTTATCGAGACCGCCAGAAAAGGTTGTTCGAAATAACATCGTCCTATGGGAACAGCAGTGTCTTAAACTTCTTGAGAGCAATCGCGCATAATATTTCGTTTTGAACGAAAATCACGGATAGGATTCGACACTTCGAAAATGACAGGTACAATAAACACTACAGTTGTCGAGAATAAATAAAATTACGGGACCCGAATTTGTGAAGTCCAGATTCCTCGTCATGAGACTAAGTTCGCGCTCTGAGCCACTTCGCGCTCAAATTTACTTTGCGCTCAGGCTTCCGATGCGCTCAAACCTAAATTGCGCTCAAATTCACTCTGCGCTCAGAGATACTTCGCGCTCAGAGATACTTCGCGCTCAAATTCACCAGCGCTCTGTCTTCCGCTGCGCTCAAACCTACATTGCGCTCAAATTTACTCTGCGCTCAGATTCACTTCGCGCTCGGATTACCTTCGCGCTCAGATTTACGTTGCGCTCAACTGCAATCGCGCTCAAATTGTCGGTCACCGCGGAAAACGATGTGCGCGCGTTCTTCATTTCATAACTCCTCTTATGAGGACGGACTCTCGTCGTTCATTCTGGCCTTGGCTACTACATTCATGCGTTTCCTTCCCTCATTGGTCGATGTCAATGGTCGTGGAAGGACACCGGCGGAGAACCTTCTGACTCGCAAGCTAAGGATGCCGGACTCCGTGAAGAAATAAGAACGAGTTGCGCCTAATACATCGTCAGCCATAATCCCGACATAAGAAAACGAACAGTGTTCAGACTAGCGATACGAAGCAGATTCCCGTAACAAACAAGGGCGAGAAGTCGTAGTTCAGTTCAACCGAAGTGGTCCTCAGGAAATCACCTATCGGGCAGGACGCAACGTGGTGCTGAGTGAATCTAGCCACGGCGGGCCGTACGGCTTAGCGGACGATTGGGAGGGAGTGGTTCACCCAACGATGAACTTTTCAGACGGTGCTGTCGTCCTGTCGCAGCATGGTGAATGAATGAACGTGTGTCTATCGCGTTGGGACAAATCATTCCAGGATGAAGAGCTCTCTTTCTTGAGTGCCGCCGCCCAGTGATGGTCTCGGAAAGGAGGATAAGGGAAGCCATCCTTACAATGCCGAATCATGATCATTCTATGGTTTCGACATTCCATGAAGAACCTCATTTTATTGTTCTTCAACTAATTGATCCACATCATCGTCTAGATGCGGATGCGCGGCCTGGCGGTACTCGAAAAATCCTCCATCGGACGTGCAATGATTGTTCCTTGAGATCGGCAATATAAGATCTCATCGAGAGAGCAGATTATGTAGCAGCGTTTCTCCTAGGCGGACATGGTCATGGAATCTAATGTACGCATACGCATAGTCGCGATGTTCTTTAATCCTCATATCCTCCACGAGGAAGTGTGGCACTTGGTCACGTACCGGTTGCCGTCCGAATTGCGGGTTGCCAAGCGGAAAAGGACGCCGCACTCGGTGCAGATATCGGACCGTATATCCGATTGAAGTTTGTCGGTCAAGTAATAAGTAGATTTTGATGCCATTCGTCAACATTTCTATGTTCAAAGAATTTGCCGAAGTCTTCGAAGGCTGCTACCGACCGAATCCCGTTCCCGTTCTTTGATCTCGTTTTCCTCAAACTAAAAAAGCGTTTTTTGAACAACGACCAGAGGAAGTCTCGTGATACCCTTCGTCGACCGGAGGGTAGTATCGAAAATCTTTCGCAGATCTTCGAACTCACGGAACTACGTGCTCCGTGTTCACGTAGTTCTACGCCCACATACCGCCTGAGTCCCTGACTCGGGCACCGCGGGGATTTTTGACATAGAACTGCGTCATTATGGACGCTGTCCAAAAAAATGTGACGGATCCAGTTACGGATGCACGAATGGTTTCGGATTGAGGGTTTCGAAATCGCGGTAGGCTTCTCAGGCGACATCTGGTACGGTAAAACTGTCAGAGAGGCTATTGAACTCCCCGCGACTCCGTGTCCAGAAAACTACCTCTGGAACCTTCGAATCACCTCAGTTATTTAGAATCATTGGACATTGAAACTAAACGTGGTGCGTTATGATGCATTGTGGTACTCAAGGGTGCCGCCGGAGTGCCGGAGCAAACGATCGTGCCACTGAGCTGTCAATCGTGGTACGAAAGCGGCGAAATATCAGGTATTGTATTGGGGTATCAGCACATCGTCTCCCACGCAACTCCGGGGCGAGTCGAATGATCAGCGCGCCCGACACATCTACATTTGCATACGCGCCGCCGCCTGGTCACCTCACGACCGAACTGAATCATTTAGATAATGGGAACTATATAGACAGGATCCGGCTCCAGAACCGTCTCGGGTGCTCAAAGCCGGAAAACTGAATCTAAGCCACGCCGAATCCGGACGTAGAGTATGATCCGATACAGCCAACGGCTTGCAATATTCGACTTTCCCTTTTCACCGTCGGCTTATACTTTCATCCCTTATTCCCTCATCAGTGAGGACCGAGGAACTTTGGAGGTTTTGAGCAAGGAGCTATATTCCCCATTCGCTGAATGAAAGCTCGAGACTCTCATCCGAATTTGACACTTACTGCGATAAAATTCATACATCAAATTACGGCTCCGCTCGACTGCTCGATCGTTTGGATCGGGACTCAATAACGATAGGAACATATCGTTGAGGACCCGGGATTCTCATGCGGGACCGAACTTCATTGGCTTCATGAGAGTGCGTCCGAACTTCATCCTCCGTGTCGAGACTTGAGATGACAGGAGCATATCGTTGAGGATCCAGGATTTTCATCTGGAATCGAACCTCATCGGCTCCGGAAGAGTGCGGCCAGACTTTATCTTCTGGATCGGGACTTTATCAGTTGAAACTTATCTTTGAGGACCCCAAATCAGGATCCAGGATCGGAATTCATCGCGAAACTATATTTTCAAGCCACGCTTCAACTATCTATATTGTAAGAACGCCGCAGATCAATTACACGTCGGCCACAAGAAGTTTCCGTCCCTTCACAATGAGCCGCCGCCGTGACTTTGCGAGGCGTTACGGAAACTCCATACATTTATACTCCTGAAACGGGGCCACGGGAATTACAGCTCCATGATCCCCGACGGTCTTGAGCTCGCGCCGTAGAAAACTTCTCTGAACAGTTTTTCCATGACAATCCCACATCACTGCTTCCTCGTAGATCTGATCTCGAACCTCGAACGATCTTTGATACCGATCATCGAACCACAGGTTTTGAAAGCGAACGCAGGTGTCGGATTACACTCGGTCTGTAGCGCGATCGATCCAGCGCAGCTAATTAGTGAGAGCTGCGATTCGCGCCCCACGTCTTAGACTCACACACAACTCACGCAGATATATCGTATATCCCGATGTTCCAAGGGTCTCTCCATGCGGCAGTCGTAGACGATCCGACGGATGAAGTTTTATTGATCACTGAGATCGATTGGAATCCGATCCCTCTTGACTTCGTTCATGACGTATACCGCACTTCTTCGTCAAGTCGTTCTCTCTGCTGAACCGCGTCCAAGGTTGGCTGCTTAGATACACATCTTTCAGCAGGAGGACGCTGCCGAAACGTACGTCTGATTGACTCTCCTGACAATATCGCCGGGCATGACGTGCCCTGCTGAAAAGCCTCTCAGCTGGAACGCTAGTGGGTTGAATCGCGTCGATCGTTTCGATGAGCTTTCTAGGGAGGACATCAACTTTTTTCTTATGCAGTCTCATAAGGTCTTTGGTTGCGAGAGAGCTTGCGACGATGCTCCGCCTATTAGGCTGCATCGAAATTTCGAATTCATCGAGAGTCTCCACGATTTGAGTCTCGCGACGTCGAGTGCCTGTCTCGGTCTCGATGTATTTGCGAATTTCAGATTCGATGCTGCCTTGGTCAATGAATGTGGCGCACATACGCGCCTCCCCTTCCATTCTCGGTCACGAGCCTCATCGAGCCAAATCTCCATGTCTGCTTCGACTCCCCAGTCGTGGATTTATCTGGCTATACTCGACGCGATGCCTCTACGCCGGAGGATGCGAAGACAGCATCTGTGAGCGAGCATGTCAGCGAATGCTGTTCTTTCTGCTCTCAACTTCCGGAGCATAACCTTGGAGGATGGTCAAGCTCTAATTAGTAACTGCTTGCGCGAGAAATCCTCGCTGACTCAAATGGAAGAAACGCACCTGCAGAGAGCAGTCGGCATTGTACAAGTTGAGATTGCGTAGAGAAAGCCGATTGCTGCATTGCTCCACGTGCGAGAGAGCGCCGACAATCTCTTTGATCTGAAGCATGTCCGCGCAAGAGAGGTTGAAGGCGGGCCCGAGTAATTCTCTCACGGAGTCTTCAAGAGTAAGGAGATTCTGAAGCATACGCAAGGAACTATTCCGCCGCGTTTTTACGTCCAACACCAGCTTGACTTTCCTCGTGTTCCCGTCGACCTCAGCCGTCGACGTCAGACGATCGTTCAGCTTCGAACTTTTTTGGAGCTGTCGTACTGGCTCACGGATCCCGTTCAACAGACACGCCGCCGATCCGAACGTCGGCGTTCCTTGGGAGTCATTCACATCGAGCGAATCTTGCACGTCTCCGTTCTGAGAGGAATCTGAGTGGAGGAGCGAGGAGGTTCCAGCCTTTTTCCATCTCAGAATCAAAATCATTGGGTACAAACGATATATGTATTCCGAGAGACATACCGCTGGTCTCTTCGGACTCGCTTCCATTTTGTGGACTCAGCGAATTTTCATTTCCGTGGAGAACTGGGTGAAGAAGCGAAGAGGTCAAGAGATCTTCCAGGGTCATGAAACCATCGGCATGTGGTCAGTATTTGAGAAATGCCTTACCGGTAATCGCTTCGAGGTCGCTCCGATCGTTTTGGAATGAGACCGTCGGAGCTTTCCTGCTTGACTCCCGCCATTTTGTTCGCCGTCAAAATTCGAGCTGCGGAATGAAGACCTACCTCCTCGTGATCACCAACTCAGATCTGATGCAGATCATCCTTGGGAATAAGCACGATCCCGAATTGATCATGGAAGAGCTCATGAGCCGATACACCATGATCCACCGAGAAGATTTTGACGAATTGCGAGCGCACGTGCGCAAAAA